TGAGCATAGGGTTGCGGACATTGAGAATGTCTCGTAATGTGGTTTCAGAATTTTCCATCTGCAGGGGAGGGCGAAACAGCTGTCCACTGTTGCGATCCTACTTTATCGGTTCTTGTCATATTGGTGTCTCGAAACGTTTTTCAAGTAGTATCAGCCTTGCAGTCTATTGCTTGTCTTCATACAATTTTTTTTGGCTTATCAGATCTCTTGTAGATCCTACGTTGGCAGCGTTTATCGTATGCGGTCCCTTGCAGTTTCTGATTTCTCGTTCATTTTCGGACCGTAGGTCTTTTCACGGTTGAATGTTGAAATGTTTAGGCTAGCCTTGTCCAGCCACATTTATTCTTTTGCTTTTCGAGACAGCAATCTTGACACTTAGTCTCCTTGCGCCCCGAAACACGTGATGTGGCAACACGCGTTTCGGGGCGCAAGTGAGTAAAGTAAAGTACGGAACTTGATATAGTGCACGGGTCATTGTGCAATTTATGTGCGTTGGCTGTTGGGCTAGCGTTACATATCTTCGCTACACAGTGCTGACGAGCCCCAAGAAGGGCGAAACAGCTGTCCACTGTTGCGATCCTACTTTATCGGTTCTTGTCATATTGGTGTCTCGAAACGTTTTTCACGTAGTATCAGCCTTGCAGTCTATTGCTTGTCCTCGCTTTTTGCTCTTAAACACTGTGTAACCTAGTATCAATTATTTCAAAGGTTTACATGTAACTAACATAAGTTAGTTAACGCTCACTATCTGTCCACGCTTTAAGCAGTATGAAACTGTCTCTTGGAAAAACGAGAGAAATAACTTTTTGAGCTAGACACCTAAGAAAAAATTCCTACGGGTGGCGGGGGCATGCCCCCGAGCCTCCCAAGAGGAGCGCTCGTCTTCGGCGCTCTTTTACATGGCTGTCAGTTTATAAACTTCCCTTTTGTTGAGTACTTCACCATGTTTTAAAGTTTTCCGAAGATTGAGGAGATTTCCCATCGGAATTTTTCCCGAAGACATGATGCGAACTTATCCTACAAACATTTTGTAATTTTTCAGATGAAATTCTTGCAAAGTCATCAGCAAAATTGATGCCTCCCTGATCCTCCCTATCTTCAAGTTTGAAATTACTGTGTAATTTTGCGGCGTAAAGATACGCAACCATTTTCATTAGTTAGCATTCGTCATTATTTTCCTACGCCCGGCAATAAAACTGCATTCGAAATATGCTCAGAAAGCTAACTTTCACAGAAAATGACAGAAAGCAACAAATGTAGTAAAAAGAACCTTTTGTTTACTTTTAGCGATCGACTCTAACAAACTTATGGAAGACGTGGAAAGCCTCTCCAGTCATCAGGGCGGTGTACCCACCCAAGTACATTCCCAACTACANTTTACTTTTAGCGATCGACTCTAACAAACTTGTGGAAGACGTGGAAAGCCTCTCCAGTCATCAGGGCGGTATACCCACCCAAGTACATTCCCAACTACACCCTACTCCTTTTAGCATCACAACTTTTTGTAAACGAAGCTCGATTCAACGCTGTTACAAGGTGTTGTCTCACTAAATACAAATTCTGGTGACAGGTTCAGCTAGGATAGTAGCATTTCTGAACATAGAGGCCTGCCTGCAATTTGATGTATACGGGAATTTTAATTTCGGTGATGTTTTTCACTCAACGCCTCACGTGACGAAACAGACAACTGAGGTTTCAAGTTTCTCGAGTCTTGTTTGGCATTCAAACGCCGCTTGTCTGTTTCAGTCTACAATCCGACTCCATTTATGAGACATTTTACAGTCTTAAATTCCCTTTTTCAGGAGCCTCCTGACCAAGGAAAACGTAGTGTTTGTGATCTAAGGTAAGTTCTTTAAAGCCTGACCGTATAAGATGCTCGCCTTTTCGTTATAATTTTCGGTTTTTGTGGACATTAAAATTAAGCGTTAATACTGTAATTGTCTGAAATTGCCACCAGCAAATCACTTCAATTATGTACTTTTGTCTCCTATAAATTGAGTTCTTTGAACATATTTACTTATCCGTCTTTTCTTGACTGTGCTAGAAAGCAGTTTCCTTGTACAAACTCATTGCGACTGAATGCGGTGCGAAAGCTTAGAATCGAAAGATCAGTGTTTGAAAATTACGTAAAATATTTGTTAAAAACACACGAAATGATGGTACATTTACTCATTTTCGGCGGCCAGTTACCGACATTTATGTAAAGAGACCTTTTAGAAGTTCCAACTCACAAAACGAAGCGTGAAAGAAAGATGGTAAGGGGACGCTCATCGCGTGCATTTCTCGTGTATAAACGTACAGAATAATCAGAATGCTGACGTGACTGAAAGCACCAGATTTTACAAAACTTACTTGGCCTTGTGTGATATCTATATTTATCAGTATGCCAGCTGACGATGAATTAAATATTGTCAAAGATCTTATTTATGCGATCATTTTCTCTTATTGTAGATGTTTGAAATATAAACTCCACCTAATCGCTATCTCTTCGCGGTTGACCTTCGCCATCCTCGTTTGACTCTTGTCTGGCATGGGTTGCTTGTCTGTCTGGATGTAGGCAAATACTGTCATAAACGGCATACTTATTGGTTATGTATTCTGTATAAATAAAAAGAAAAAATAAATTTACCATAAAATAAAATAAAATAAAATAAAATATTAAACTTTAATAAATCTGCATTCCCAGGCAAAGTTTTCTTGGTAAAAAAAATGTTAAAATATCCGGTGAAAAAATTGTAGCAGTGCCAGACTGTTTATTAACTTCCTTATTAGTGAATAATTTACAACTAAATAGAACTTACCTTCTAGGCAAAACTGGCTTTTTTAATATTGCAGGACTTTTGCATAATCAGTTACATGTCTACTGTTTGCCTGTGTTTTTACATAGTAATTGTCATTGCCATATTACATTGGAAGTTTGTTTATTTGCAGGCTAGGAATCTTTGCTAGATAAATTTACTTGTACAGTGGTCAGGTCAAAAAAATTATTAACGATCATGTAACGTATCAACAAAGGATATTCACTGATTAATTAGCTAATACTTTCTACACTTTATATTCCTCTCTGTTTTAGCATCATGCTTAGATGGAGTCTTTCGTGAATTCTCTGACAGTGGCAAATGTAGAATTGTCCTTACCTTATTCTGAAACTTTGAACAGTCTGGTCAATTACAATTCAGAACTCACCTACAATCCAAGGTCCACAGCTTCAAGTACAAATCAAAGAACAGCTCAGCTGGATATCAGCCGCAAGCTACCTACAAAGCTCTCCAAAAACCCAAGCACTTATGAAAAAGAACTACGGGATCTTGTCTTGAACTTGTATTCAGATAAGAAAAGACCTGTTGAAGAACGCAACCAATCGGTTGACATGGCCTCTTTTACTCAGGACCGTATGATCAACCGACCTCAAACCAAAGGTGCTTCATTCTGGGGAGCTTCGAAAATAACTGTTCCTCAGCCCCTTGATATGATGCATGTGACAGAACCCCATCAAGGCCAGTCAGAATCTGGATCAGAGGGATATGGTTCTTTGGACAATGGTGTTACACAAATAGAGGAGAATGGTATACAGAATCTACAAGAGTTGCAGGGGTATTTGGTGAAATTACACGACAGCAAGCAAGGTACAGTCATTTTAGTTTGCAGGGTGAACAATACAGCTTGTTTAGTGACCATGTTATCCTTGTTTTAGTCCAGGAAAATTCAAGGTAAATTTGAAGTAAGTTAAGTAGATTCATTTCACAACCCACACTGACATGTTTCATGTCATTAGCTAATGTGTGACTTGCAAAAATCAGAAATGGGAAAAGAAGGGATATCTAAACTGACACATGACACTGTGTCTCTGATCACCCAGGTGTATAAATGGGTACTGATGAATTCATTGCTGGGGGTAACCCAGCAATGGACTAGCATCCCATCCAGGGTTATAGTAGGCATACTCATAGTTGTTGCTTGATGCTACAGAAACCAGGTTAACCTCCAGCGACATGAGAAACTTTGGCCCAATGTGGACTTTACCACTCCCTGCCTCTTACTATTCCCTTCAGAACAGTTATATATAGCAGTTCATGACAAATGGTGCTAACTGCTAATCAGTCAACAGAATGGAAACACTGCAAACTGGTGATAGAAGAGGTACGGAGATTTTACATTTCGTGAGTCATAGGGAAGTTTACTTCAGTCAAGATGCACAGGGCTTTTCTTGATTGACAGGCACAAAAATGACCAATCACTGAGTCATAAAAATAACTTTTTTCCCATCCCTCTTGCCCAACAACACCCAGTGTGCAATGTGGCTATTCAAGAAAACATAGTTTTCCCCTCTTTTACAGTGAAAGCAAAAGTTATATAAACATACTTTGAAAATGTACTATAAGATAATTGAGTAGAGATTCACGAAATCACTTTGAAATGTTATCCTTGTGTACTTTTTCTCATCAACAGCAACATTAAAATAATTTTATATCAAATGTAAAAATATTGAAATGACAAGTCACACACACTTACAAAATAGATGACTACAATTAGGATTTTGATTAAAAGAAATAGAACAAAATAATGGCAATTTTACTATTAATAGGGAAGAGAGAGATTATCTACATTAGAACTGAATAGAGAGATTGAATGTCTTTGGATTCAGGGACAAGTGTTTGTTGGGGCAACACAATCTCGTTCCTAACAGTGATCTAGGCTGTATGGTTACCACATGACAAAGTTTTTTATTAATTTTTGACTCCTCTCTGGCATGTCACTGACAACTTTCTTCTAACCAATCAAAATCTGAGAAGTGTGGTGGGTAATCTAACGTTTCCCATGTCAAGCCCACTTGTTGGGATGTCACTCCACGTCCCCCGTCTCTTTGGGGGGAGCATTGCGTGACATCCCCAAAAACGGCTGTGGAGGAGACTAGCCCACTGGTCAATCATCTAAGATCTTGATAAGTTCAAACAAACAGAATCCTGTAGAAAATTGTTTACAGGATTTCGAAGTGAATAGAAACATGTACCGGAGGCATGCGTAACTGCTTGTTCTTTTCTTGTTCCGCAGAAATGTCATCTCGCAATGTTAGCTTCTCTTCAGACCAGATGACTCCATTGTTTGATGACTCTGGAATCCATCTGGAATTCACCACGCCCTCTGACACCAGAATCTATGAGGTAGACAACGATGAATCTGCCACTAATGCCCAAAGGGAAGAGGTTGCCGAAAATCGCGAGTTTCACCGCATCCTGCCGGAGTTTCGAGGTCGCTCTTCATCTGTTATTGGGGTGGAAGGCGTTGAAAACGAAGTAGATGGTTATCTTGTATCAGATAGACTCGCTGGACAGTGTAGTGGTTTTGTCACCCAAGGCGGCGATGATCAAACGCATATTTTGAATGAGGATTTCACATTAAAAAACGCAAGTTGCTCTGACCACGAAAACGGCGTGGATCTTGAAACCGCAGAGCAGGGTGTGGCCAAAGAACAGAAATCATTTACAAGAGAAAACTACCACGATCTTGCTCTTCAGCGCGCCGGTTTGGAAGGAAAGCTGGAATCACTGCAGGGAGAGTTTGCCAGTGTCCTAGAAGACAGGAAGTTACTTCAGATTAGGCTTCAAGCGGTGGAAGCACGACTGAGAGAGGAGGTGCTAAAAGCGCGGGAAACTAAGCCTACTGCTGTGTCCCTGGTGGACGAGCTGCGACGAAGTAAGTTTGAGTTAGAGAGTCAGCTGGATAAGTTACAGAGTGCGTACGAAGAAAAACATGGCAATCTTAATGAAGCGCTGGAGCAGTTGAAGACTTCCAGCACTACTATTCAAAATCTCAAAATTAAGTTGTCCTTGGTAGAAGGTGAAATCTACCGGAGGGAAGAAACGGTGAGCGCGCTTCAAGCGGAGATGGATAGCTTAAAGAAATTGCTGGAGGAGGCCAAAGAGCAAAATGAAGAATTCAAGAAAGAGAACATGGCTTTGAATGCAGATATAGCGAGGCTCGTCGATGCGAAGGAATGGCTCCAGAAACAGCTCGGGTTTGCTGAAGACGCGCGCACGAGGCTGCAGCTTGAAGCGAGCGAATTTGAGTCGACGTTAGCAGCGAAGAATCGCGTGATAGAGCAGTTGAAATGCGAAGGAGCTCGTTCAAGTCAGCAACTCACAGAACTGCAACAGAGTTCACTCGAAGAAAAAACACAGATTCTGAAGCATATGGAGCAAGTTGAAGAAAGCATTACTCAACAAAACCTGGCTTTCAAAGAGATGGAAATTGATAAACAATCCGTGGAAAAGACTTTGGGAGCAAGAGTTGAGTCCCTCATGAGTGAAAATAGCAAACTCCTCAAGCTTATGAGTTCAGCTGTGGAGGTGCAAAAAGATCTTGACGCAGCTAAGCAAGATGTGATTTTGAAAGAGGCTCTGCTTGAAACCTTTGTCAAGGAAAAAGAAGAAGTAAAGGAGCAGCTGAAGCTTGCCCGCGAATCTACTGAGGAATACAAAAGAAATCTTCAAGAGTTGGAATCAAAATTTGACGCTACCAAACGGGAACTGAAGATGGCACAAGACGATATAGGAGAAAAAGAGTGCTACATTGAAAAGCTTCAAGAAGAAAAGAGACTCTTAAAGGAAAATCTCGACGTTGCGAATAAGGAACGACTAGCGTGTGATAACGCCATTCACACATTGCGGCTGGATCTCGAAAAAGTTGATCGTCGTTTTAAACTGATGAAACGAGAACTTTCCGCAAAGAACAGTCAGCTCGAGGAAACAATTCGGCAAAAAGATGTGTTTGTTGGAGAGCTGCGTACACTGAGAGAAGGCTTAGAGAATCAGGTTGCCTTGGGCTGTGCCGTGAAAGAGGAGTTAGCACAGAAGGAGAAACTCGTTGAAGAATTTCAGGAGGTGAAAGACGCACTAGAAAAAGAGATCGCTAGTTTGGCTCAGCAGCTGGAATATTCACGAGGGGACATTGCAAGAGTGGTTAAGGAAAGAAATGAGATCCAGGAACAACTTCAGAGTGCAGTGAGGTAATGAGGTTATTTTATTGCTGGCTAGGAAATCTATTGTGGAAGTTGTTGAACCTAGTATTTGTACAGTATACATATTTAGTTCTAAGGCAGCGTCCACACCACGCCGGAGACATTTGAAAACGCAGTTTTATTTGTACGGTTACGCCTACCGTCCACACTAATCTGTTATGAAAACGGAGCTTTTCGAAAACGCTCTTTAAACCGGAAGAATTTGAAAACGCTGGCTTTTCGTTTTCGTCAGTGTGGACGGAAAACATTTTGAAAACAGAGCTATTTGAAAACGATGACCTCACGATAATCTTGTGATTTCCCTGCCTAGTTTTGTTCAAACACAAATCCAAATTGACTGGTGATTCTTGCGTTTTTAAATTCCTCCGGCGTAGTGTGGACGGAAAGCGTTTTGAAAACGGAACTTTTTGAAAGCGATGACGTCACGATAATCACGTGATTTCCCTGCCCGAGTTCTTTTCAAACACAAATCCAAAATGACCGGTGATCGTTGCGTTTTTAAATTCCGCCAGCGTAGTGTGGACGGAAAACATTTGACGCGTTTTCAGGGTGAAACCTTCGTTTTCAAATTCCTCCGGCGTGGTGTGGACGGGGCGTAAACATTAAGTAAGCTTAATCTTTCTCTATCTCCACACTGGACGCTTTCTGCATAAGGGAGAAACATTTATTGGATACAAATGTCACCAGTCTATGTTTTTTATTCTTACTTTCAGGGATACCGTTGTGCTCGAAGAGAAGTTTCACAAATCGTTGCTGGAACGAGCGAGATTGGAAGGCGAACTTGAAACTACACAGCAGTCGAACCAAGATGAATTGGAAGCGTTTAGAAATCAAAATTCATCGCTCAGAGAAGAAATCACGACAGAAAGAACACACCTACAGGCAGAAGTTACGAAAGAGCGAGATAAAGTCATCAACTTAGAGCAGGAACTGAAATACCTAATGGACGAGATTATACGAAAGGAAGGTAAGCATAACCAGGAGCTGCAGTCTTACGGAGAGACTTTGGAAGAAATGAAAAACATGAAAGAACTGGCTGAACAAGAACTGAAAACGCTTCATAAAATCACCGAGCAAAGTGTGGCTGAACTGAAGAAAAGCTACGAAAGCCAGCTGGAAGAAGCGCGAAATGATGTTCTTGCTCTTCAAGAGGAAAAAGTGAACATGGAGCAAGAGTATGAAGTATTCCGGAAGAAAGCAGAGAATCAACTTGGAGTGAAAAACCGAGATATAAGCCAAATGGAAAAAGAACTTTCATTCTTGAAGGAGACGCTGCAACAAAGGAAAGCCGAGGTAGAAAAAATGCAGATGTGCGCAATTGAACTTGAAAGAGAAAAGGGCCGGCTGGCTGGAGTGTTAGCAAGTCAGAAAACACTGCGAGAGCACGTGGTGAAGATGGAAGGTGAAATAGCAACCCGAGAATCAGCCTTGCTTGAGGCGGCAAACGAGTTACAGAGATTGAAGAAAGACAAAGAATTACAGCAGAAGACAGCAAGCGAGAAAATCGGTAGTCTACAAACGCAGTTGACGAACGTGAGGCAGGAAAAGAAGAATCTTCAGGATTCTTTCAGGAAGGAAAGACAGGAAAATGTTGCTTTAAGAAGTGAGATTGAGGAGAACGCTAACGAAAAAGTGGATTTGATTAAGAACTTAAGCGGTGCTGAGAAACAAATCAAGCAATTACAGGAAAAGGTTAAGAGCGAGGGCGATGAATTGAAGAGATGCAGATCTCAACTAGAAGGGTTGAAGGAAAGCTTCGCCGAAGAACAGACTGCGCGCGACAATTCACAAAGGAGATTGGAAGTGGTGTTGGAGCAAGAAGCAGCGAAGGATAGAAGAATGGAAAGCTTAGAATGGGAAGTTACTCGGCGAACCAAAGAGGTGGAATACCTAAAGGAACAGCTACGAATGATGGACGAAAGACAACAGTTGGAAATGGAAAACTTGAAAACCGCGCTTCAAGTATCAAGGAGCGAAACGACTTCATTGCGTTCTGAGTTGTCTGAGGCGAGGAAGGCTAAATGTACTTACCAAACAAAGACATTTGAATTAAAAGATTCTCTGCTTACCGCCAGGCAAGTCACAGAGTCGTTAAAACAGGAGTTGTTTGTGAAGCGTCAGGAGCTGAATTCCTTAGNGGCAAAGTTTTCTTGGTAAAAAAAATGTTAAAATATCCGGTGAAAAAATTGTAGCAGTGCCAGACTGTTTATTAACTTCCTTATTAGTGAATAATTTACAACTAAATAGAACTTACCTTCTAGGCAAAACTGGCTTTTTTAATATTGCAGGACTTTTGCATAATCAGTTACATGTCTACTGTTTGCCTGTGTTTTTACATAGTAATTGTCATTGCCATATTACATTGGAAGTTTGTTTATTTGCAGGCTAGGAATCTTTGCTAGATAAATTTACTTGTACAGTGGTCAGGTCAAAAAAATTATTAACGATCATGTAACGTATCAACAAAGGATATTCACTGATTAATTAGCTAATACTTTCTACACTTTATATTCCTCTCTGTTTTAGCATCATGCTTAGATGGAGTCTTTCGTGAATTCTCTGACAGTGGCAAATGTAGAATTGTCCTTACCTTATTCTGAAACTTTGAACAGTCTGGTCAATTACAATTCAGAACTCACCTACAATCCAAGGTCCACAGCTTCAAGTACAAATCAAAGAACAGCTCAGCTGGATATCAGCCGCAAGCTACCTACAAAGCTCTCCAAAAACCCAAGCACTTATGAAAAAGAACTACGGGATCTTGTCTTGAACTTGTATTCAGATAAGAAAAGACCTGTTGAAGAACGCAACCAATCGGTTGACATGGCCTCTTTTACTCAGGACCGTATGATCAACCGACCTCAAACCAAAGGTGCTTCATTCTGGGGAGCTTCGAAAATAACTGTTCCTCAGCCCCTTGATATGATGCATGTGACAGAACCCCATCAAGGCCAGTCAGAATCTGGATCAGAGGGATATGGTTCTTTGGACAATGGTGTTACACAAATAGAGGAGAATGGTATACAGAATCTACAAGAGTTGCAGGGGTATTTGGTGAAATTACACGACAGCAAGCAAGGTACAGTCATTTTAGTTTGCAGGGTGAACAATACAGCTTGTTTAGTGACCATGTTATCCTTGTTTTAGTCCAGGAAAATTCAAGGTAAATTTGAAGTAAGTTAAGTAGATTCATTTCACAACCCACACTGACATGTTTCATGTCATTAGCTAATGTGTGACTTGCAAAAATCAGAAATGGGAAAAGAAGGGATATCTAAACTGACACATGACACTGTGTCTCTGATCACCCAGGTGTATAAATGGGTACTGATGAATTCATTGCTGGGGGTAACCCAGCAATGGACTAGCATCCCATCCAGGGTTATAGTAGGCATACTCATAGTTGTTGCTTGATGCTACAGAAACCAGGTTAACCTCCAGCGACATGAGAAACTTTGGCCCAATGTGGACTTTACCACTCCCTGCCTCTTACTATTCCCTTCAGAACAGTTATATATAGCAGTTCATGACAAATGGTGCTAACTGCTAATCAGTCAACAGAATGGAAACACTGCAAACTGGTGATAGAAGAGGTACGGAGATTTTACATTTCGTGAGTCATAGGGAAGTTTACTTCAGTCAAGATGCACAGGGCTTTTCTTGATTGACAGGCACAAAAATGACCAATCACTGAGTCATAAAAATAACTTTTTTCCCATCCCTCTTGCCCAACAACACCCAGTGTGCAATGTGGCTATTCAAGAAAACATAGTTTTCCCCTCTTTTACAGTGAAAGCAAAAGTTATATAAACATACTTTGAAAATGTACTATAAGATAATTGAGTAGAGATTCACGAAATCACTTTGAAATGTTATCCTTGTGTACTTTTTCTCATCAACAGCAACATTAAAATAATTTTATATCAAATGTAAAAATATTGAAATGACAAGTCACACACACTTACAAAATAGATGACTACAATTAGGATTTTGATTAAAAGAAATAGAACAAAATAATGGCAATTTTACTATTAATAGGGAAGAGAGAGATTATCTACATTAGAACTGAATAGAGAGATTGAATGTCTTTGGATTCAGGGACAAGTGTTTGTTGGGGCAACACAATCTCGTTCCTAACAGTGATCTAGGCTGTATGGTTACCACATGACAAAGTTTTTTATTAATTTTTGACTCCTCTCTGGCATGTCACTGACAACTTTCTTCTAACCAATCAAAATCTGAGAAGTGTGGTGGGTAATCTAACGTTTCCCATGTCAAGCCCACTTGTTGGGATGTCACTCCACGTCCCCCGTCTCTTTGGGGGGAGCATTGCGTGACATCCCCAAAAACGGCTGTGGAGGAGACTAGCCCACTGGTCAATCATCTAAGATCTTGATAAGTTCAAACAAACAGAATCCTGTAGAAAATTGTTTAAAGGATTTCGAAGTGAATAGAAACATGTACCGGAGGCATGCGTAACTGCTTGTTCTTTTCTTGTTCCGCAGAAATGTCATCTCGCAATGTTAGCTTCTCTTCAGACCAGATGACTCCATTGTTTGATGACTCTGGAATCCATCTGGAATTCACCACGCCCTCTGACACCAGAATCTATGAGGTAGACAACGATGAATCTGCCACTAATGCCCAAAGGGAAGAGGTTGCCGAAAATCGCGAGTTTCACCGCATCCTGCCGGAGTTTCGAGGTCGCTCTTCATCTGTTATTGGGGTGGAAGGCGTTGAAAACGAAGTAGATGGTTATCTTGTATCAGATAGACTCGCTGGACAGTGTAGTGGTTTTGTCACCCAAGGCGGCGATGATCAAACGCATATTTTGAATGAGGATTTCACATTAAAAAACGCAAGTTGCTCTGACCACGAAAACGGCGTGGATCTTGAAACCGCAGAGCAGGGTGTGGCCAAAGAACAGAAATCATTTACAAGAGAAAACTACCACGATCTTGCTCTTCAGCGCGCCGGTTTGGAAGGAAAGCTGGAATCACTGCAGGGAGAGTTTGCCAGTGTCCTAGAAGACAGGAAGTTACTTCAGATTAGGCTTCAAGCGGTGGAAGCACGACTGAGAGAGGAGGTGCTAAAAGCGCGGGAAACTAAGCCTACTGCTGTGTCCCTGGTGGACGAGCTGCGACGAAGTAAGTTTGAGTTAGAGAGTCAGCTGGATAAGTTACAGAGTGCGTACGAAGAAAAACATGGCAATCTTAATGAAGCGCTGGAGCAGTTGAAGACTTCCAGCACTACTATTCAAAATCTCAAAATTAAGTTGTCCTTGGTAGAAGGTGAAATCTACCGGAGGGAAGAAACGGTGAGCGCGCTTCAAGCGGAGATGGATAGCTTAAAGAAATTGCTGGAGGAGGCCAAAGAGCAAAATGAAGAATTCAAGAAAGAGAACATGGCTTTGAATGCAGATATAGCGAGGCTCGTCGATGCGAAGGAATGGCTCCAGAAACAGCTCGGGTTTGCTGAAGACGCGCGCACGAGGCTGCAGCTTGAAGCGAGCGAATTTGAGTCGACGTTAGCAGCGAAGAATCGCGTGATAGAGCAGTTGAAATGCGAAGGAGCTCGTTCAAGTCAGCAACTCACAGAACTGCAACAGAGTTCACTCGAAGAAAAAACACAGATTCTGAAGCATATGGAGCAAGTTGAAGAAAGCATTACTCAACAAAACCTGGCTTTCAAAGAGATGGAAATTGATAAACAATCCGTGGAAAAGACTTTGGGAGCAAGAGTTGAGTCCCTCATGAGTGAAAATAGCAAACTCCTCAAGCTTATGAGTTCAGCTGTGGAGGTGCAAAAAGATCTTGACGCAGCTAAGCAAGATGTGATTTTGAAAGAGGCTCTGCTTGAAACCTTTGTCAAGGAAAAAGAAGAAGTAAAGGAGCAGCTGAAGCTTGCCCGCGAATCTACTGAGGAATACAAAAGAAATCTTCAAGAGTTGGAATCAAAATTTGACGCTACCAAACGGGAACTGAAGATGGCACAAGACGATATAGGAGAAAAAGAGTGCTACATTGAAAAGCTTCAAGAAGAAAAGAGACTCTTAAAGGAAAATCTCGACGTTGCGAATAAGGAACGACTAGCGTGTGATAACGCCATTCACACATTGCGGCTGGATCTCGAAAAAGTTGATCGTCGTTTTAAACTGATGAAACGAGAACTTTCCGCAAAGAACAGTCAGCTCGAGGAAACAATTCGGCAAAAAGATGTGTTTGTTGGAGAGCTGCGTACACTGAGAGAAGGCTTAGAGAATCAGGTTGCCTTGGGCTGTGCCGTGAAAGAGGAGTTAGCACAGAAGGAGAAACTCGTTGAAGAATTTCAGGAGGTGAAAGACGCACTAGAAAAAGAGATCGCTAGTTTGGCTCAGCAGCTGGAATATTCACGAGGGGACATTGCAAGAGTGGTTAAGGAAAGAAATGAGATCCAGGAACAACTTCAGAGTGCAGTGAGGTAATGAGGTTATTTTATTGCTGGCTAGGAAATCTATTGTGGAAGTTGTTGAACCTAGTATTTGTACAGTATACATATTTAGTTCTAAGGCAGCGTCCACACCACGCCGGAGACATTTGAAAACGCAGTTTTATTTGTACGGTTACGCCTACCGTCCACACTAATCTGTTATGAAAACGGAGCTTTTCGAAAACGCTCTTTAAACCGGAAGAATTTGAAAACGCTGGCTTTTCGTTTTCGTCAGTGTGGACGGAAAACATTTTGAAAACAGAGCTATTTGAAAACGATGACCTCACGATAATCTTGTGATTTCCCTGCCTAGTTTTGTTCAAACACAAATCCAAATTGACTGGTGATTCTTGCGTTTTTAAATTCCTCCGGCGTAGTGTGGACGGAAAGCGTTTTGAAAACGGAACTTTTTGAAAGCGATGACGTCACGATAATCACGTGATTTCCCTGCCCGAGTTCTTTTCAAACACAAATCCAAAATGACCGGTGATCGTTGCGTTTTTAAATTCCGCCAGCGTAGTGTGGACGGAAAACATTTGACGCGTTTTCAGGGTGAAACCTTCGTTTTCAAATTCCTCCGGCGTGGTGTGGACGGGGCGTAAACATTAAGTAAGCTTAATCTTTCTCTATCTCCACACTGGACGCTTTCTGCATAAGGGAGAAACATTTATTGGATACAAATGTCACCAGTCTATGTTTTTTATTCTTACTTTCAGGGATACCGTTGTGCTCGAAGAGAAGTTTCACAAATCGTTGCTGGAACGAGCGAGATTGGAAGGCGAACTTGAAACTACACAGCAGTCGAACCAAGATGAATTGGAAGCGTTTAGAAATCAAAATTCATCGCTCAGAGAAGAAATCACGACAGAAAGAACACACCTACAGGCAGAAGTTACGAAAGAGCGAGATAAAGTCATCAACTTAGAGCAGGAACTGAAATACCTAATGGACGAGATTATACGAAAGGAAGGTAAGCATAACCAGGAGCTGCAGTCTTACGGAGAGACTTTGGAAGAAATGAAAAACATGAAAGAACTGGCTGAACAAGAACTGAAAACGCTTCATAAAATCACCGAGCAAAGTGTGGCTGAACTGAAGAAAAGCTACGAAAGCCAGCTGGAAGAAGCGCGAAATGATGTTCTTGCTCTTCAAGAGGAAAAAGTGAACATGGAGCAAGAGTATGAAGTATTCCGGAAGAAAGCAGAGAATCAACTTGGAGTGAAAAACCGAGATATAAGCCAAATGGAAAAAGAACTTTCATTCTTGAAGGAGACGCTGCAACAAAGGAAAGCCGAGGTAGAAAAAATGCAGATGTGCGCAATTGAACTTGAAAGAGAAAAGGGCCGGCTGGCTGGAGTGTTAGCAAGTCAGAAAACACTGCGAGAGCACGTGGTGAAGATGGAAGGTGAAATAGCAACCCGAGAATCAGCCTTGCTTGAGGCGGCAAACGAGTTACAGAGATTGAAGAAAGACAAAGAATTACAGCAGAAGACAGCAAGCGAGAAAATCGGTAGTCTACAAACGCAGTTGACGAACGTGAGGCAGGAAAAGAAGAATCTTCAGGATTCTTTCAGGAAGGAAAGACAGGAAAATGTTGCTTTAAGAAGTGAGATTGAGGAGAACGCTAACGAAAAAGTGGATTTGATTAAGAACTTAAGCGGTGCTGAGAAACAAATCAAGCAATTACAGGAAAAGGTTAAGAGCGAGGGCGATGAATTGAAGAGATGCAGATCTCAACTAGAAGGGTTGAAGGAAAGCTTCGCCGAAGAACAGACTGCGCGCGACAATTCACAAAGGAGATTGGAAGTGGTGTTGGAGCAAGAAGCAGCGAAGGATAGAAGAATGGAAAGCTTAGAATGGGAAGTTACTCGGCGAACCAAAGAGGTGGAATACCTAAAGGAACAGCTACGAATGATGGACGAAAGACAACAGTTGGAAATGGAAAACTTGAAAACCGCGCTTCAAGTATCAAGGAGCGAAACGACTTCATTGCGTTCTGAGTTGTCTGAGGCGAGGAAGGCTAAATGTACTTACCAAACAAAGACATTTGAATTAAAAGATTCTCTGCTTACCGCCAGGCAAGTCACAGAGTCGTTAAAACAGGAGTTGTTTGTGAAGCGTCAGGAGCTGAATTCCTTAGTGAATGACGTGCTGGCTTCCAGCAACCTGCTACTGCTACAAGAAGAAGTTANAGATCTTATTTATGCGATCATTTTCTCTTATTGTAGATGTTTGAAATATAAACTCCACCTAATCGCTATCTCTTCGCGGTTGACCTTCGCCATCCTCGTTTGACTCTTGTCTGGCATGGGTTGCTTGTCTGTCTGGATGTAGGCAAATACTGTCATAAACGGCATACTTATTGGTTATGTATTCTGTATAAATAAAAAGAAAAAATAAATTTACCATAAAATAAAATAAAATAAAATAAAATATTAAACTTTAATAAATCTGCATTCCCAGGCAAAGTTTTCTTGGTAAAAAAAATGTTAAAATATCCGGTGAAAAAATTGTAGCAGTGCCAGACTGTTTATTAACTTCCTTATTAGTGAATAATTTACAACTAAATAGAACTTACCTTCTAGGCAAAACTGGCTTTTTTAATATTGCAGGACTTTTGCATAATCAGTTACATGTCTACTGTTTGCCTGTGTTTTTACATAGTAATTGTCATTGCCATATTACATTGGAAGTTTGTTTATTTGCAGGCTAGGAATCTTTGCTAGATAAATTTACTTGTACAGTGGTCAGGTCAAAAAAATTATTAACGATCATGTAACGTATCAACAAAGGATATTCACTGATTAATTAGCTAATACTTTCTACACTTTATATTCCTCTCTGTTTTAGCATCATGCTTAGATGGAGTCTTTCGTGAATTCTCTGACAGTGGCAAATGTAGAATTGTCCTTACCTTATTCTGAAACTTTGAACAGTCTGGTCAATTACAATTCAGAACTCACCTACAATCCAAGGTCCACAGCTTCAAGTACAAATCAAAGAACAGCTCAGCTGGATATCAGCCGCAAGCTACCTACAAAGCTCTCCAAAAACCCAAGCACTTATGAAAAAGAACTACGGGATCTTGTCTTGAACTTGTATTCAGATAAGAAAAGACCTGTTGAAGAACGCAACCAATCGGTTGACATGGCCTCTTTTACTCAGGACCGTATGATCAACCGACCTCAAACCAAAGGTGCTTCATTCTGGGGAGCTTCGAAAATAACTGTTCCTCAGCCCCTTGATATGATGCATGTGACAGAACCCCATCAAGGCCAGTCAGAATCTGGATCAGAGGGATATGGTTCTTTGGACAATGGTGTTACACAAATAGAGGAGAATGGTATACAGAATCTACAAGAGTTGCAGGGGTATTTGGTGAAATTACACGACAGCAAGCAAGGTACAGTCATTTTAGTTTGCAGGGTGAACAATACAGCTTGTTTAGTGACCATGTTATCCTTGTTTTAGTCCAGGAAAATTCAAGGTAAATTTGAAGTAAGTTAAGTAGATTCATTTCACAACCCACACTGACATGTTTCATGTCATTAGCTAATGTGTGACTTGCAAAAATCAGAAATGGGAAAAGAAGGGATATCTAAACTGACACATGACACTGTGTCTCTGATCACCCAGGTGTATAAATGGGTACTGATGAATTCATTGCTGGGGGTAACCCAGCAATGGACTAGCATCCCATCCAGGGTTATAGTAGGCATACTCATAGTTGTTGCTTGATGCTACAGAAACCAGGTTAACCTCCAGCGACATGAGAAACTTTGGCCCAATGTGGACTTTACCACTCCCTGCCTCTTACTATTCCCTTCAGAACAGTTATATATAGCAGTTCATGACAAATGGTGCTAACTGCTAATCAGTCAACAGAATGGAAACACTGCAAACTGGTGATAGAAGAGGTACGGAGATTTTACATTTCGTGAGTCATAGGGAAGTTTACTTCAGTCAAGATGCACAGGGCTTTTCTTGATTGACAGGCACAAAAATGACCAATCACTGAGTCATAAAAATAACTTTTTTCCCATCCCTCTTGCCCAACAACACCCAGTGTGCAATGTGGCTATTCAAGAAAACATAGTTTTCCCCTCTTTTACAGTGAAAGCAAAAGTTATATAAACATACTTTGAAAATGTACTATAAGATAATTGAGTAGAGATTCACGAAATCACTTTGAAATGTTATCCTTGTGTACTTTTTCTCATCAACAGCAACATTAAAATAATTTTATATCAAATGTAAAAATATTGAAATGACAAGTCACACACACTTACAAAATAGATGACTACAATTAGGATTTTGATTAAAAGAAATAGAACAAAATAATGGCAATTTTACTATTAATAGGGAAGAGAGAGATTATCTACATTAGAACTGAATAGAGAGATTGAATGTCTTTGGATTCAGGGACAAGTGTTTGTTGGGGCAACACAATCTCGTTCCTAACAGTGATCTAGGCTGTATGGTTACCACATGACAAAGTTTTTTATTAATTTTTGACTCCTCTCTGGCATGTCACTGACAACTTTCTTCTAACCAATCAAAATCTGAGAAGTGTGGTGGGTAATCTAACGTTTCCCATGTCAAGCCCACTTGTTGGGATGTCACTCCACGTCCCCCGTCTCTTTGGGGGGAGCATTGCGTGACATCCCCAAAAACGGCTGTGGAGGAGACTAGCCCACTGGTCAATCATCTAAGATCTTGATAAGTTCAAACAAACAGAATCCTGTAGAAAATTGTTTAAAGGATTTCGAAGTGAATAGAAACATGTACCGGAGGCATGCGTAACTGCTTGTTCTTTTCTTGTTCCGCAGAAATGTCATCTCGCAATGTTAGCTTCTCTTCAGACCAGATGACTCCATTGTTTGATGACTCTGGAATCCATCTGGAATTCACCACGCCCTCTGACACCAGAATCTATGAGGTAGACAACGATGAATCTGCCACTAATGCCCAAAGGGAAGAGGTTGCCGAAAATCGCGAGTTTCACCGCATCCTGCCGGAGTTTCGAGGTCGCTCTTCATCTGTTATTGGGGTGGAAGGCGTTGAAAACGAAGTAGATGGTTATCTTGTATCAGATAGACTCGCTGGACAGTGTAGTGGTTTTGTCACCCAAGGCGGCGATGATCAAACGCATATTTTGAATGAGGATTTCACATTAAAAAACGCAAGTTGCTCTGACCACGAAAACGGCGTGGATCTTGAAACCGCAGAGCAGGGTGTGGCCAAAGAACAGAAATCATTTACAAGAGAAAACTACCACGATCTTGCTCTTCAGCGCGCCGGTTTGGAAGGAAAGCTGGAATCACTGCAGGGAGAGTTTGCCAGTGTCCTAGAAGACAGGAAGTTACTTCAGATTAGGCTTCAAGCGGTGGAAGCACGACTGAGAGAGGAGGTGCTAAAAGCGCGGGAAACTAAGCCTACTGCTGTGTCCCTGGTGGACGAGCTGCGACGAAGTAAGTTTGAGTTAGAGAGTCAGCTGGATAAGTTACAGAGTGCGTACGAAGAAAAACATGGCAATCTTAATGAAGCGCTGGAGCAGTTGAAGACTTCCAGCACTACTATTCAAAATCTCAAAATTAAGTTGTCCTTGGTAGAAGGTGAAATCTACCGGAGGGAAGAAACGGTGAGCGCGCTTCAAGCGGAGATGGATAGCTTAAAGAAATTGCTGGAGGAGGCCAAAGAGCAAAATGAAGAATTCAAGAAAGAGAACATGGCTTTGAATGCAGATATAGCGAGGCTCGTCGATGCGAAGGAATGGCTCCAGAAACAGCTCGGGTTTGCTGAAGACGCGCGCACGAGGCTGCAGCTTGAAGCGAGCGAATTTGAGTCGACGTTAGCAGCGAAGAATCGCGTGATAGAGCAGTTGAAATGCGAAGGAGCTCGTTCAAGTCAGCAACTCACAGAACTGCAACAGAGTTCACTCGAAGAAAAAACACAGATTCTGAAGCATATGGAGCAAGTTGAAGAAAGCATTACTCAACAAAACCTGGCTTTCAAAGAGATGGAAATTGATAAACAATCCGTGGAAAAGACTTTGGGAGCAAGAGTTGAGTCCCTCATGAGTGAAAATAGCAAACTCCTCAAGCTTATGAGTTCAGCTGTGGAGGTGCAAAAAGATCTTGACGCAGCTAAGCAAGATGTGATTTTGAAAGAGGCTCTGCTTGAAACCTTTGTCAAGGAAAAAGAAGAAGTAAAGGAGCAGCTGAAGCTTGCCCGCGAATCTACTGAGGAATACAAAAGAAATCTTCAAGAGTTGGAATCAAAATTTGACGCTACCAAACGGGAACTGAAGATGGCACAAGACGATATAGGAGAAAAAGAGTGCTACATTGAAAAGCTTCAAGAAGAAAAGAGACTCTTAAAGGAAAATCTCGACGTTGCGAATAAGGAACGACTAGCGTGTGATAACGCCATTCACACATTGCGGCTGGATCTCGAAAAAGTTGATCGTCGTTTTAAACTGATGAAACGAGAACTTTCCGCAAAGAACAGTCAGCTCGAGGAAACAATTCGGCAAAAAGATGTGTTTGTTGGAGAGCTGCGTACACTGAGAGAAGGCTTAGAGAATCAGGTTGCCTTGGGCTGTGCCGTGAAAGAGGAGTTAGCACAGAAGGAGAAACTCGTTGAAGAATTTCAGGAGGTGAAAGACGCACTAGAAAAAGAGATCGCTAGTTTGGCTCAGCAGCTGGAATATTCACGAGGGGACATTGCAAGAGTGGTTAAGGAAAGAAATGAGATCCAGGAACAACTTCAGAGTGCAGTGAGGTAATGAGGTTATTTTATTGCTGGCTAGGAAATCTATTGTGGAAGTTGTTGAACCTAGTATTTGTACAGTATACATATTTAGTTCTAAGGCAGCGTCCACACCACGCCGGAGACATTTGAAAACGCAGTTTTATTTGTACGGTTACGCCTACCGTCCACACTAATCTGTTATGAAAACGGAGCTTTTCGAAAACGCTCTTTAAACCGGAAGAATTTGAAAACGCTGGCTTTTCGTTTTCGTCAGTGTGGACGGAAAACATTTTGAAAACAGAGCTATTTGAAAACGATGACCTCACGATAATCTTGTGATTTCCCTGCCTAGTTTTGTTCAAACACAAATCCAAATTGACTGGTGATTCTTGCGTTTTTAAATTCCTCCGGCGTAGTGTGGACGGAAAGCGTTTTGAAAACGGAACTTTTTGAAAGCGATGACGTCACGATAATCACGTGATTTCCCTGCCCGAGTTCTTTTCAAACACAAATCCAAAATGACCGGTGATCGTTGCGTTTTTAAATTCCGCCAGCGTAGTGTGGACGGAAAACATTTGACGCGTTTTCAGGGTGAAACCTTCGTTTTCAAATTCCTCCGGCGTGGTGTGGACGGGGCGTAAACATTAAGTAAGCTTAATCTTTCTCTATCTCCACACTGGACGCTTTCTGCATAAGGGAGAAACATTTATTGGATACAAATGTCACCAGTCTATGTTTTTTATTCTTACTTTCAGGGATACAGTTGTGCTCGAAGAGAAATTTCAAAAATCGTTGCTGGAACGAGCGAGATTGGAAGGCGAACTTGAAACTACACAGCAGTCGAACCAAGATGAATTGGAAGCGTTTAGAAATCAAAATTCATCGCTCAGAGAAGAAATCACGACAGAAAGAACACACCTACAGGCAGAAGTTACGAAAGAGCGAGATAAAGTCATCAACTTAGAGCAGGAACTGAAATACCTAATGGACGAGATTATACGAAAGGAAGGTAAGCATAACCAGGAGCTGCAGTCTTACGGAGAGACTTTGGAAGAAATGAAAAACATGAAAGAACTGGCTGAACAAGAACTGAAAACGCTTCATAAAATCACCGAGCAAAGTGTGGCTGAACTGAAGAAAAGCTACGAAAGCCAGCTGGAAGAAGCGCGAAATGATGTTCTTGCTCTTCAAGAGGAAAAAGTGAACATGGAGCAAGAGTATGAAGTATTCCGGAAGAAAGCAGAGAATCAACTTGGAGTGAAAAACCGAGATATAAGCCAAATGGAAAAAGAACTTTCATTCTTGAAGGAGACGCTGCAACAAAGGAAAGCCGAGGTAGAAAAAATGCAGATGTGCGCAATTGAACTTGAAAGAGAAAAGGGCCGGCTGGCTGGAGTGTTAGCAAGTCAGAAAACACTGCGAGAGCACGTGGTGAAGATGGAAGGTGAAATAGCAACCCGAGAATCAGCCTTGCTTGAGGCGGCAAACGAGTTACAGAGATTGAAGAAAGACAAAGAATTACAGCAGAAGACAGCAAGCGAGAAAATCGGTAGTCTACAAACGCAGTTGACGAACGTGAGGCAGGAAAAGAAGAATCTTCAGGATTCTTTCAGGAAGGAAAGACAGGAAAATGTTGCTTTAAGAAGTGAGATTGAGGAGAACGCTAACGAAAAAGTGGATTTGATTAAGAACTTAAGCGGTGCTGAGAAACAAATCAAGCAATTACAGGAAAAGGTTAAGAGCGAGGGCGATGAATTGAAGAGATGCAGATCTCAACTAGAAGGGTTGAAGGAAAGCTTCGCCGAAGAACAGACTGCGCGCGACAATTCACAAAGGAGATTGGAAGTGGTGTTGGAGCAAGAAGCAGCGAAGGATAGAAGAATGGAAAGCTTAGAATGGGAAGTTACTCGGCGAACCAAAGAGGTGGAATACCTAAAGGAACAGCTACGAATGATGGACGAAAGACAACAGTTGGAAATGGAAAACTTGAAAACCGCGCTTCAAGTATCAAGGAGCGAAACGACTTCATTGCGTTCTGAGTTGTCTGAGGCGAGGAAGGCTAAATGTACTTACCAAACAAAGACATTTGAATTAAAAGATTCTCTGCTTACCGCCAGGCAAGTCACAGAGTCGTTAAAACAGGAGTTGTTTGTGAAGCGTCAGGAGCTGAATTCCTTAGTGAATGACGTGCTGGCTTCCAGCAACCTGCTACTGCTACAAGAAGAAGTTAAAAGGAAAAGAGAAGCTCTGTCTGACTGTGAGGAAACACGAGACGACACAGATGGGGCTAAAAAGGAGTTTACCAACACCTTCAGGTAAAGATCCTATTTCAGCTAAAACACCCACC